CCGTTCGTCCAGTCCACACTTCCTCAGTGTGTCCTTGATTGGCAAAGTATTTTTGAAGGCCTTGTAAGATACAGCACTGACCATAATAATCAGAGGAGCAACTGCTTAATTTACAGCAAAAGACTGGTATCCAATTCATAGAAAATAATAGATGTTATACAGTATACCCAAGCAAACTTTATTTTAGGAAGGAGCTCATTTTATGGCAAGAGATGAGCTTTCTACTCTGTTACTGTGAGGCAGCCTGGTAAAATTGTCACATCCAGTAATTCAGAATTTATATTCTCTTACCATTTCTTCTGAAAAATAAATCTATAAAACATTTCAGATTGTTTTACTGCAAAAGAGAGGGGTGTGATGTTTGCCTGTCGTTGAACTTAGGACTTCTAAGGGTGGTAGTGCAAGGTAAATAAAACGAATGTCAGCCAGTAGAAATAGCTGGTGATCAAGAGGGTGCTCTTGATCATCAATCCATTTCTTTTTCTCTGGATTAGAATTTGAGAAACAGAACATGTTGGTGACTGTTTTCATTATGTCATGGATCTAGCCTAGATAGTCAGTTTTATGACTTCCTCAGACTGATAAATGGCAGATTTCACGCAGCTCGTGAGCACCGGTTGACTAGGTCATCAGGAGTGGCTTAGGAAAAAAAAGAATCTGTCTTTGGTGTTTTTGTGAACTCCAGTTTCAACTGAAAGTTTATTTAATTTGAAACAGGATTTTGATTTGAGTGAAGAGTTTATAAATTTTATGCATTCTCCGTCTTTCTCCTTCCGTTTTGTCTTCAGTTCTGTTTAAAAATCTGCGCAGCTCTCTTGCAGTCCTAACTAGAGAAAAATGTTTAAAAGCTTTTTACAGTATTTGTTTACAGCTGTTTTGTGTGACTTCTAGTTGGCCAAACTTGAACTACTCCAGTGATTATATAAATTCACAATCTGTGTTATGAGATTTTTTTCTTTGACAACAAAATCCACTTTTTAAAAAATTGTCCCAGCTTTTTCTCCTCTAGAGGCCTTGTTTTTGTTATCCTGTTAAGCTACTCTTATGCGGATATTGCTCTAATATTAAGGGACAATGGCGTATACAGGAAGAATGTGTACACACAGTTTTCAGATTCTCTAGGTTTCTTTCCTGGATGCATCTCTCATTTCTCCCTCCACTCCTACCTTAACTATATTCCAGTAAGATGCGAGAAAAACAACAAAGTCCTTTCAAGATTGCAGAGTGCAGTGCAGGTTCAACTGTGGCAGCTAACTTTCTCCCTAGTAATTAATATTTCTGGTTTGGTTTTTGTTTTGTTGCTTTATTATTATTATTATTTTTAAAAAGCAAGAACTTGACCTTGTTTGTCTTTGTTTGTAATTTATTAGATGCTGGATCCATTGTCTTTGAGCAGTCCTGAAAACTCTGGCTCAGGAAGCTGTCCCTCACTTGACAGCCCTTTAGATGGGTAAAAATTGCTTACATTCAATATTTATCTTTATTAGATTGCATAATATATCAGTTGTAACATACAATAACTCTCCAACTACAGCTATTACTGTACTTCTTCCAGAAATTCTTCTGGAAGTTACAGAACATTTATAAAAGCTTATTGAAACTGAATTGCTACTAATGCTCAGAAAATAGAAGTAGCTTTCATTTTTTTTGTTTTATAATTTGCAATCGAAACACAAAAATTTAGACTTCAGATCCTACAAAAACATTCTTTGCATTTGCTGCCCATTCTTCTTCCCTTGTTCCCATAGCAACCTTTCCACTTATTTTTCTTAAATCTGTCAGTTAGCAAGAGGCAATGTGTACTGTGGTACATCTGGAGATCTGTTTGAATCGAGGTGTTAGGAGATTCGTGTGTTTTGAGACAGTTACTGTCCACAGTCTCTCAGCTATCGCGAGAGCCAGACAGAACGTTGACTCGTTGGTCAAGCAAATAAGTTTGAGTCCTACATTGCACAGATTGGCTGCTCGTTTATTTGGAGCTGCTGTACAGATAATACTGCTAATTAAGTAGTTTATTTAATTGGTAGAAAGGTGAAAAGTTGGAAATAATTTCCTGTGGTGATTAATCAGAGCTATAGTACTCCATAGTACTGTTTCAGTTGAGAATATGTGATTTGAGGACACAAATGATTTTTTGAACTAAGTAGTGTCTCCATTCCACAGGCAAGAAAACCATAGACATGAAAAGTATTTAGTGGTTGTGGGGTGATAGGTTGTATACACACAGTCTTTAATGTAGCTGCATAGAAGGGAAATTCTACCAAATTGCCAAATTTTTAGTTTTCTGTGGGGTAGAGGTTAGTGGAAGAAGGGGAAACAAAGCAATCTTAATTTGACTCATAATGTTTCTTCTTCAAAACTTCTTTTGCTTGTTTTTTATTTCCTTCATTTGTCACCTCTACTTAGTTTGTTTTCCTTTTTTTTTATTCAAATATTTCCAACAAAGATGTAGGTTTTGTGTCTCCATTTAGCTTCTGTTTCCCATTAGAGAAATTCTTACCAGAAAAAGGAGGACAATGTTTTGGTATGTTTATGGAAATGTACTGTAATCGGTTGCTCTGACTGGCAATCCCATCCATTCCTTTTGGTGGCTGGGAATTACATACCAACTGTAGGTAAGAAACAATGTGATCATTTAAGAACCAAAAAATTCTTCATCATTCTATAACTCAATAAAATTACCTTCTTAATCCTATGACTGTCATGGAGAGAAGAAGAAATATTTTGAGACATTAAAAGGTTCTGCAGTTCTTTGGTTAAATTTCCTCAGGAGTTTTTGTAGGCAGTGTAAGAAATTTTGCCAGTCTGTAAACTCTTCTGTTTAGCCATAACAGTACTCCTTTGGGACTTTACTGGTGATAATTCATATTTTTACTAATTTTATTGCTCATTAACAGAGTGTGTTGCTTTCTTACAACATTAAGCTCAATAAGCAAGCTTTTCCACTGCTACTGATCTTGAGTTGTTATTGATACCTACGAGATTTGATTTTCAGAATTGGGCTCTACGTTTGTAAACTGGTGCAGCACCTTGTATAGCAGTAAATTTTCATCAGTTATAAAGAATTAAAAGACAGTAAGATTAAATGTTTAAGTACTTGATTAATAGCAGTTGTTAGATGCTGTATGTTTTTACGCTTCCAGGGACAACTATCCCAAATCTCGGATGCCAAGAGCACAGAGCTATCCAGATAATCATCAGGAATTCTCAGGTAGGCAAAATCACTGGAGGTACTAGCTTTCCACAACTCTTTTTCTTGCAAATACTAGTGTTTAGAAGGGAAGTTCACATTGAAAGGTGTAATATTATGCAAACGTATTATGGTAGAAGAAAAAGCAACAAAATCCAATCCAAATGCACACACTAAAACATACAATGACATACCAGATCTTCCAAATGTTTTCTTCTAGACTGTGTGTAACACCACTGTTAGTGTGCATGGTATAACATATCTTCTTCTTTGAAAACAACGAATGATGCAGTGGATAGAGGCACACAACAGTTTGTTACACTGGACTATAATGTCCGTCCGAGTTGATGCATAACCTTGGATAATTTAATGCTGGAGTGTTGTGGTTTAACCCCAGTAGGCAGCTAAGCACCACACAGATGCTCACTCCCTCCCCATAGTGGGATGCTGAATAGAATCGGAAGGGTAGAAGTGGGAAAACTTGTGAGTTGAGATAAAGGCATAATGTGTAAAGCAAAAGCTGCACGTGCAAGCAAAGCAAAATAAGCAAATCATTATTCCAGTCAGTAGGCAGATGTTTAGCCATTTCCAGGAAAGCAGAACTTCATCACACCTAATGGTTTCATGGGAGGACAGATGCCATTACTCCAAATGTCCCCCACACTTTCTTCTCCTTTCTCCCAGCTTTTATTGCTGAGCACAACCTCACATGGTATGGGATATTCCTTTGGTCAGCTGTCCCAGCTGCGTCACTTCCCAGCCTCTTGGGCACCCCCAGTCTACTCGCTGGTGGGGCAGTGTGAGAAACGAAAAAGACTTGATGCTGTGTAAACACTGTTCAGCAGTAACTAAAACATCCCTATGTTATCAACACTGTTTTGGTCACAAATCCAAAACACAGCACCATATGAACTACTATGAAGAAAATTATCCCAGCCAAAACCGGTAAATGGAGCCTTCATTTTCTCCTACGTAAAGTGAGGATCACTTTGAAGTGCTCATGACTTCTGTAATTGAAAGCACTGTAAGTGAAAGGATGAAGGAGAACTGTGAGCTGTGCCTATAAATTAATCATCACCACTAATGTTATTTTCATACGATACTCTGGCTTGAATACAAATTGTTGTGCGTGGTTCAAGATGCAAAGCACAATGGGTAACCTTGACAGTGCTTTGAGGTGTCTCTCATGGGCATGCCCCACTGCGGAATTCTGCTGTTGAACAATAATGAGCTTCCAGTGAGTCTGAGGTGGTTTGTGGTTTTTTTGGTCTATTAGATACTTTAAGCCTTATTTTTATTTTGGTTATGAAGCTTTATCCAGATAACTGTGTGATGGTGTGTTTGGTGGTTTTGTTAAGGATTCTAGAGTGCTTGACTGATTGCACCACTTCTAAATGAGAATAAAACTAAAACTATGTATAAGAAGCATTTAGGTGGCAGAGACAAATACCAAAAAAGTTGGTAATGTCAGAAATTAGTTTGCCTTAGATAATCTTAATCTAGTTTTCTTGTGTCTGTTTGTTATGGTTTCTTTTCTACTTGCAATATTTTTTCTGGGTTTTCTTGTTTGTTTCTTTGTTTTGGTTTGTTTTGTTGTTTTTTTTCCCTGTGGGATGCTCTGGTATTTTAACAATGGGATAGCAATCATTAATTCCATATTCGATACTTACGATTTGATGTGTAACAAAAACAGAATAGTACATAGATTCAGGAAAAAGTCCATCTGGCCTGGTCTTTTCTCCAGCCACAACCAGCGGCAGGCCTCTACAGAGGAGCATGTAGTATTCCTTCCTCGGAATGTAATGCTGTTCCTCTGTGGCTTTAAGGGTTCTGCAAATGTAAGATGCTCTTCTGCAATTCTGTGGATTGTTTTTTCCTTCCACAAACTTTTCCTGTCCCTGTTTTAACTTGTATACCGTTTTTCAGTATCCACAGTATGTTGCGACAAGAAGTTGTGCAGCTCACTGTGTTTTATGAAGTAGTGTGCCTTTTGTGATTTACTTTTCTTTAATAGACCTCTTTGTCTCCCTTTGAGCTATTGCTGTTCTAGTCTGCAGAGGCCTACATTCCTTATGAAGAAGCAATTTTGTATCTTTGATCATCTCTGTACTTGTAAATCTTTTCTGGTTTTACTAAATCCTTTGAATGGAGTAGACCAAAACTTTGTTCAGTATATCTTGATGATTTATAGCATTTAATTGGCTTCTTAGCCAATACAGAGAGTTAAGCTGCTGCTTTATTGGAACTCTTGATCACAGTCCTTGCACCAGCCTACACTGAATTTCACGTGCCATTTTAGCATTCAGACTAAATACGAGCTCTTACGGGCTTTTTGTCATTCTTCTGTTGGCTTTGTTTCTCCAGATGTTTTTATCACCTCACTATTCATTGCTCTGTCCAGAGAATCCATGCATAATTAAACTGCATGAGATGTAGCCCAGATTCCTGTGGAGCTGTTGACCATTTAATCCCCTCTTACGTACTTGTCTTCTAACCAATTATTTATGCACGAGAGACTTTTCCCTTTATCTTGTGAATACTTTTCGCCTTTAATAATTTTTAAAAGAGGGCCTATTGAATGTCCTGACCATTCACCAGTTTTTTTCTTATGCCATCTTTAAATTTTATTCTTTCTAGTAGTTTCTGCCAGTTTTCCTGGTGAACTGTAATTTATCGGAATTCCTCTAGAAAATATTTTTCAAGTGGAGTAGTTAGGCATGCTGCAGTCCTCTGACGTTCTTTTAAACAAGAGGTTCCAAACCACTTGAGTGTTGAATTCTTGATCCTTTGGAACTTTTGACTGAACGTCCTCTTAGTTCTTGTCATTTGTTAGATTTATGGCTTTTGTTTTATAATCTTTTCTGCTCTGATGCTTGAAATATGTCCTCTGATATGTTCCCCCATGTTTAATTTGAATGCCTAACTGTTTAATTTCATATGCTTTTGTCACGTTTTAAAATTTGAAATGTGTCTTTTTATTTTCTAGTAGAGTACGATATTCCAATATTTGAGAAATTTGGAAAGGGGGGGACTTATCCCCGAAGATACCATATTTCATATCATCAACAGGACTACAATGACGGTAAGTGTGAGTACTGCAGGAGCTCTACTTCATTAATTCGTTTTTCTGTTAGCAAAAAGTAAAGAAGAAAATTTAGAGTGCAAAATGTTAATGAATTAAAATATTGAAGAAATGAAAAGCTTGCTTTATTTCCCCAGACTCACCTGCTAATGATCGATAGAGCTGCTGAGCAATCTTATCTCTGGTAAAGTTATAGATTACAGAACTTGTGACTCATGTGCACAGCTATGAAAGTGTTCTTCCTCTTTGTCCATGCATGAGTCATCCTTTGGCCTTTGTTACCCTTTTCTATCCAGAGTAGGTATGTCAGTTAGTTTGTCATTTCTTGTTTTGCTTAAAAAAATCCCAAATACAGTGAAGTCCCTATTAACACTTTCTCAGATTAAAGGAGTAAATAAAATTATAGAACAATAATTGAAACTGAAAAAGTAACAACTGGCTGGTGGAATCAATTGTTAGAATGCAGGGCAGTGTCTCCTGATCCGGCCACAGAACTGATTTGGATAATAATAAGATTGATGTAAATTTAACACGGTGACTTTCTGAAGGAAGGGAAGAGGAGCACTGAAGGGTTGTCTGACTTGAGGGTGTGTCAAGCACTAGTTGTGAAGTGTGAAGAGGAAACTTCTCCAAAGACCAGATGGTTTCATTTCTAGTATGGAATGAGCAAAGCAATACATGGAGTTCTGTTACAGAAATCACATAAATACCAGATTGAAGAACTGCAAGGCAGCTTTGGTCCAGGCCCTTGCTCTAAGCAAGGTTGAAGAGGCAAAGATCTGTTACACTGACTTTTAAGTAAACTAAATTGACTTTAAGAGATCCTGATTTTCTTTAGGTAATTAACTTGAAGACAGCTGATCTTATCACTTACCTTTCTCTGTGTTCTAAAACAGTTTTCCTGCAGCTGAAACTAGTAACTAGTTACTCCACTTCAGCACAGTGAAAAACTGATCACTGCCCATATGTAACAGTACATCACACAAATCTGTTTTCTTTCAGTAGTTTTCTTCTTTCAAGCATTAAGCCTTACTTCAGACAAAAGGTGTACAAGCCTCATAGTTTTTTCTGTATTCTTCTCCATTCTTGTAGTGGCCAGACCTGGATAGAGTACTCTAACTGAGGCTTTTCTCCTCACCACTTTACGTATAACATAGGATATAACTATGACTTGCTGTGTAACAGTCATGGTTAATATAGTCCAGAATGCTGCTACTTTTTCGTAGTCGCCATACTGACTGCTGTTCAGTCTGTGGTCTATTATAGTTTATCTATCCTTTCTACAAGACTGCTATCCAAGTAATTACTGTACACTTTGTGGTTTCTGCATTTGATTTCTCTTAAGTATGTATATTGTACTTACTAAATTTCATCTTGTTGGTTTCTGAATCATCTCCAACTTACTAATGTCACTTTATCTTTAAACGGACTTCCAGCTACACTCGATGTCATCTGTAATGTTTCAGTGTGTTATGCTCCATCATATATACATCAGCAGTTAAAACAGTGTTTGGAAGTGTACTGAGGGTAAACTGCTGTAGATGTCCACTTAAATTATCCCACCTGTTGAGAAATCAGTGATAACTGCTCTGAGTCTGTCTTGGGCATCTTTTGCATAGTGTTCTGGTCTTTGCAGCTAGTTAGTTTATGAGAATGTCTCAGTGAAATGGGGAAATTGGATTAGCTACATGTTACAGACCAATTACGGCTGGTTATCACCTTATCTTCCCAGGTGTTTATAAAACTGCTTAATAATCTGTTTGCATATCTGTCTTGGAATTTAAATTGGCCTGACTATTCTATAAATCCAAGTCCACTTTTTAAAGATATTTTATCTGCCTTCTTCAGTCCCCTGGGAACTTCTCCAGTGTAATACCTAATGAATCAAAAGTCCTTCAGCAATTTGAGTTCTGTAGGATGAAACTTCATCAAGCTATGCTGACCTAAAGGTGTTTGCGTTATCTAAACACATTAACACAAATTGTGTTAGTCATCTGGTTGTAATTAACCTTTTTGAAGGTCAAGGCCCTTTTTTTATTGTTATTTATTCTGATGCTGTAGCATCTATGAATTATGCATTGTTTGTTGTGGTTTTTTTTAAATAATTTTTGTGGTCTTCCTGTTGATTCCTGTTTCTTGAAAGAGTCTAGCACAGAGCCACAAAGATGATGGAGGGAGTGGAGCATCTCCCTGATGAGGAGCGGCTGAGGGAGCTGGGTCTCTTTAGCTTGGAGCAGAGGAGACTGAGGGGTGACCTCATTAATGTTTATAAATTTGTAAAGGGCGAGTGTCAGGAGGAAGGAGCCAGGCTCTTCTCTCTGATGTCAAATGACAGGACAAGGGGCAATTGGTGCAAGCTGGAGCATAGGAGGTTCAATCTGAACATGAGGAAAAACGTTTTCACTGCGAGGGCACCAGAGCACTGAACAGGCTGCCCAGAGAGGTTGTGGAGTCTCCTTCTCTGGAGACATTCAAAACTTGCCTGGACGTGTTCCTGTGTGACCTGATCTGGGTGACCCTGCTCTGGCATGGGGGTTGGACTGGATGAGCTTTCGAGGTCCCTTCCAACTCCTAATGTTCTGTGATTCTGTGATTCCATGTGTAGGTCATTCTCTGCATTCAGCTCTTACTAGTTTATGGGATGAAGATGCTAGCCTGTGCACCACTGGAATGTAAATGTATCTTTCACTTTCCTATTTCTCAGAAATTTAGTCTTTACACCTTAATAAAGCAATAAATGTAGAGGCCAAAGCATTTTCCTTTCTCCTCTCACAGCCCTCCAGGTTTCTGAAGCATGTCGGTTACATTGCAGAAGAGTTCCAACATTTGGTTCCAAGTTTGGTCACTTAAGCGTCAATAAGTTTTTGATAGTCTTATCCCTACCGATATCTGTAATGAATATTTGGGTTTTTTCCCAGGTGGAAAGTTATATCAGTAAGCTTCATGATCATTATATCATATTATTTGCTGTGGAAGATTTGAACTATGTTGTGTGGAATTCAAAGTATTTGCATACGTACATTGCATAGTCGTTATTTTTTTTGCTAACATCAGTATTCTTTGTATGTCGTTGAAGGTCGTAAAACTTTTCCAAGAGCCAGAAGGACTCAGGGGAACAGCTTCCGATCACCAGTTAGTTTCAGTCCTACTGATCATTCGCTGAGCACCAGCAGCGGGAGCAGCGTCTTTACGCCAGAATACGAAGATAATCGGATGAGGAGGAGGGGAAGTGACATAGACAATCCTACCTTGTCAGTCATGGACATCAGCCCACCCAGTCGTTGTAAGTTAGGGCATTTTGTGAACTCCATTGTAAAACTCTGAAGCTTTCAAATATTTCACGTCAAAAGTAAGCATGTTATCAAAAATACCTGGAACTGAATAATATGTTTCTATATCTTTAATATGAAAAAGTCAGGACTCTATGCTCATAATTTTTTTCATTGCTCACTGTGCCAACCTTCATGCAGGTTTTTCACATGGAATTTGCAGCTGTGATAAGAAAACACTGTAAAAATGTTTTTGACCATTTGTTAGGTGCCTGAGGACCCAAGAAAGGTTATGCAGGTCACAGTTACTGTTTATTTTTGCAGATGTTGGTCAAGTTTTCTGATAAATGATAAACCTTAAGTGGTACTGTTTTATATCTGTGGTGGCATTTCAGAAGCAAATATACTTTGTGATGACTTCTGTAGCTCTGGTGCATTTTAATCATGCTTCAGTTGTTTTTGAAATAATGTTACTAAGTTTGTATACCATGCTTTTTCAGTTTTTCAGATCAGCTGTTTCTAGTTAAGGATGCCTATCTCTACCACAAATTATTTTGTGAATAAATTTAAGTAGCTTCTGTTTTTCATCTTACAGGAAGTTTCCTTGATCTCTGTAACTTACGTGGGGAGGTTTAGGACGCACAGCCTCTGTTGTTGAAAAATGTACTCTTTTAAAACAATATTTTCTGTGTATTCCAGTTTTTCTTGATCAGCTGAATAACAAGGTCATTTGAAAACCAAAACATGCTTATATTTTCAGCACCACGAGCTCCAACTAACTGGAGACTTGGTAAACTGCTGGGTCAAGGTGCATTTGGCAGAGTATACCTGTGTTACGATGCTGATACCGGAAGAGAACTGGCTGTTAAACAAGTTCAGTTTGATCCTGATAGTCCAGAAACCAGCAAGGTAAGTAGTACCAAAGACATAGTTTGTAAAAGGTTTCTGCTGAAGTGTTGTGTCCTGGACTAGATGGATGTTCCTTTCCTTGAACAGGATGATGTTTTAAAATGTGTTGTGTTTTCATGTCCTTGTTAGGAATCCTGTTTTGTTAGTACCTCAGAGAGTTAGTTTGGTCAATCTGACTTCAGTGTTATATCCCATTTTTTAATTTTCAGACACATGCAGTGAACTTCATGTGGTGTAGTCTCAGTCTAACAGTAAACAATCCATTATGAATTGTGCTCTGAAACAGATATTTATTTATATTTATAGGAATTAGAACAAATTCCATTTATAAACAGAATAATCTGTACTAATTTAAGTGTTCCTGAAAATAAATTCTCAAGGATATTTTGCTTGGCTATGAAGACAGTTTGAGATTCTTATCTTTGTGGGAGGAGGAGTTGTTTGTTGTTTTGGGGTTTTTTAGAGCTTTGGGCATCAGGATTAGCTACTGTTATTCACTGTATTTCTCTTTGAAGAGCAAAAGTTTCATTATCAGTTTATTTTCTCTCTCTAAAATTGAACTTGTCCTTTAAAAACTGGACTCTTGAGCAGAGAAACTATTTAAAAGTAGCAATGATCTTCTGTTTCTTTTTTCCCAAACTGTACTTGCTGCTTTTTACAGGATGGGAAAAGAATTATTACTTTTCCTGCATTAGAACTGTGTTCTGCACTGTGGGGAGCAAGGCCAGAGAAAAAATGGGTGTAAGCGTGGTTGCAGAATTGAGTGGCTGCCAGTTATAGTTGCTGCTACTAGGGATGTAGGATCAAGGAAGAAAGCCAAGAATCATTTGTGCTGTAGATTTCTAGAGTATTTGTTGTTGCTACTTCTTTAAAATGTAAGAAAACAACTGATCATGCTTTGGAACTGTTAAATATAAAGTACTGTAGCCTCTCCTGTAGCAATAGATATTACTTCACTTGCCATAGCATTTCGTAATGTGTGGCTCTGTGTCAAAAAATCTGGGTTCTTTCTACCCTCAGAAGTGTTAGAAAGTGTTAGTTCCTCACATCTGGAATAGTCTGTGACTGATAAAAAGTAAGTTTTGATCAAAGACTCCTAGGTGAAAAGTGGAAGCCAGTCAAGTTTGAATTTTGTGGGTTAGTCTTTTTCCAGCATCTTGCTATAAAGTCTGTTTCAAAATATCTTGCTCCCTGTTTACAGAATTTTAAGTATTTCAGATAGCTCTAGAAGAAGCACCACATGTGTTAATGTTTTTCTTTAGTATTTCATTACTACAATATTACATTGTCCTCAAAGGTGTTTTTAAAGTATCGTCTGTTATCCTGGAAATGTTAAGAACTAATGCTAATTATTTCACTCAGACTTAAAGAATTATTTTTTACCCAGTTGGAGGCTTGTGACACGTTGAATGATGATCACTGGCTTTGTGCACATAAATAAGAGAAACGATGAAATAACAGCAAAATAATTCCAAAGTAAATTTACAGAAAAGCCATAGGTTTTTTACTTTCCTCAATCTAATAGCAATGTTTTCTTGTTATAAAATCTATAAACTTTGAATTAGCTACAAGAGTATTTTGTTACTTAGTTTTCATAACCCTTCAATGTGTACCTACCGTCCTGCTTTGAAAGAATCCTGATCCAAAACATTACTGTTATCTCATCAAGCATGGTACATCTTGTCTGTTCTTTTCCTTTTAGGAAGTAAATGCACTTGAATGTGAGATTCAGTTGCTGAAAAACCTGCTGCATGAAAGAATTGTCCAGTATTACGGCTTCTTGAGAGATCCACCAGAGAGAACACTCTCGATATTCATGGAATATATGCCTGGGGTAAGCAAGAGAGCCAGTCCAACCACTCCAACCTATGCAGTGTGCTTAGCACTCAAGTAGACAGCTTTTGCAGAAGTGCACACACTTATTAAAGAAATGTCCAAGTTAAAACAGTAGCTGAAGTTGGCTGCTGACGGGAGCGTACAGCAGCCTTGCTTTCTTCACTGCTTGACTGGCTTTTCAAAATTAGTGGTTTGTACAAAAGTTGATTTTGTTATAAGAAGTGCCTGGCAGTGTCTTTGAAAAGACAATATTATCATCAGGAAACACTTGAATCTTCCCAAATTTTAGTATTCCTTTCTAAAGGACATCAGCTTGTGCTGTTGTGTAGTCATCATCTCGCGTGCTCAGTTATTTTGAGAAAACAAAAAGTAGCTAAGATGGCTGTGGGAATAATTGCATGCAGAAAATAACCTTAGTGCTTGCTTTTTTTGCGACACATAGGTGCATGCTGAACTGTTCTACTGTTTTGTTAAGAAGTATTATAAAATCAGAAAACAGTAGATTTTCATTTTCTCACCAAGTGGGGTCAGCAGAGCTAAATAAAATGAGCTCCTGTAAAATCATAGGCTTGGTATTTCTTAACAGTGACAGCATTCTACTGTGAGACTCCACAGAAGAAAAACACTGGTTGTGTTTTGTCATTGTTGTTGTTTGTGGTGGAGGTTTTGTTTGTTTGGGTTTTTTTGATGCTTTTGTTGATTTTTATTATTTTAAGTGACTTCTGGGCTGTGTTTTGGGAAGCCTATTGTATTATTGAGATTCAGACAACAGTGTCACAGAAATAATCTTGTCAGTTTATAACTCTGTGTGCAAAACCAGGTTATACAGAAATAGTTACTAAACCATGTTTTTTTAATCTAATGTAATTTTAAGCCAAAACTTACTTACCTTTTAATTTTTACATAAAGCACAATCCTCCTGCATGTGGTAGTCTTTTCTTGATGACCTATTTTCTTCCTGGACTATAAACTAACCAGGTGTTTTGTCCAACTCGAGTATCGCCATTTAACCATCAGACAGTTGAGAGCGTTGTTTTAGTGAAGGTACCGCTGTTCTCTTCTTCTGTCCATCACAGTGGAACTGTTCAGCTGCTTGACAGTTTTAAAGTTAATAGCCTAACATTACAGTGTATGACTTCTCTGTCCAGCTTCTTCTAGGTTGAAGTTTGTATTTTTCTTGGTGAAGGTAAACTATACCTGTGCTTTTAAGTTGATATCAACAAGTACTGCAACTTTAAACGTCTGCCTTTCAGGCATAAACGTCACTGGAGTTCAACTGTAGTATTAGCTCTCATGATTCTGGAAATGTTACAGTGTGTTATACTTTTTGTTTGCCATAGGGTTCCATCAAAGACCAATTGAAATCGTACGGAGCACTCACAGAGAATGTGACTCGTAAATATACGCGGCAGATTTTGGAAGGAGTTCACTATTTGCACAGTAATATGATTGTCCATCGAGATATTAAAGGTACTGATAGTTCTGTGCACAGCTCAGTGCTCTTTGCTGCAAATTTTTTTCTGGTCTTGTGTGAAGCTGAATGTAATTAAGTTTGAAATGCCAAAATACTGACTTAAAATCAGTGAGATTGCTTTCCATCATTTGTTCTTCTCACTGTTGGAACCTGAGGCTGGAAGAACAAGCATCGTTGTGATGTTCTAGCAGACTTCTGAAAATGTTTCCATAGTCTGTCTGCAACAGAATCATGATGAATTTATTTCTGATTTTATTTTACTATTAATAGTTTTGAATATATCAAAGGATGATGTCATTACATATAGATAGAATGTCCAGAGGAAAGCACTATGACTCAAAAGTTTATTGTTAGAGTTTTGTTTCTATCTGTTATATAGAAATTACCCAGCACTTCACTGGTACTGGAAATGACTGGCAGAGGTGACTTGCCTGATTAAATGACTTGAGACTTCTTCCATTTTACTGCCAGGAAACCTGAGGAAACAGTCATGTTTACTTTTGCAGATAGATACAGGTGACTTGCAAGTGCTATGTAGGCCAATTACAAATACATAGGAAGACGGTGATGTGCAAACAGGGGTGTTGAACACAGCGCTGTTGCATTCCCTTTTACCACTTTCCTGTTGCTTTGTATCAATAGTGTTTTGTTCCCAAAAGGCTGAGATACACAGTCAGTTTGTACATGCTTATGCAGATAAGTGTTCTGAACAAATCTGTAGCATAGTTTAAGGTTTTGCTTTAATACAGGATGAAAACACTTTCAGTTGTATAGAAACTTCTTTTCCATTTGTTTTAATTTCCCTTTTATAGCACAGTCCTTATTGTGTCAGGAAGGCTTTACAAAGTAAAGGCATTTCCAGGAAAAGGCTTAGGATGCAAACCAACCTGAACAATTCATTATCTTCTGAACCTCAGAATAGAGTAATAGGAATGAGCAGAGAAAGTAAATTCTCTGGCTTGAAATACCAGGCTGATCTTGCATTGTATCACTGAACCCAAACTTCAGTTATTATTTTCCACACCAAAATGTTGATGGGCCTTTCATGAATGTAACGTCGTGTTGTTCCCCTCCTTCCAGGAGCAAATATTCTGCGAGATTCAGCAGGCAATGTGAAGCTCGGTGACTTTGGTGCCAGCAAACGACTGCAGACTATCTGTCTCTCTGGTACAGGAATGAAGTCTGTCACAGGAACTCCATACTGGATGAGTCCAGAAGTTATTAGTGGAGAAGGGTATGGCAGAAAAGCAGATATCTGGTATGTTTAAAAAAAAATCTACTGAAAGGTGTCATTTCAGAATGGGCTCTTTTTCAGCAGAGTGCTGGTGTTCATTGTCTGAAATTGGAGTGTTTCATTCAGCAGATTAAGCTGAAGGTGGCAAGTGTGAGCACTGATAGTGGTATTTGGAGAGTACACTGAAATTGGGAACTTTTTCATTTGGCAATTCATCAGCCCATTGATTTAGGGGTTGTAAGAGAATCCTTTGAACTGACCCTGCATGAAGTTAGGAACACCAGACAGCAAATCCTGGACAGTTACTGATTGAAAGTAACATGTGAAGCTTTGAAACACCAGTTAAGTGTATGTCCTGTAATCACTGAAATAACTTTGATGCAAGGCAGAAAATTAAATGCTAATCCTTTTAAAGATGAGCGTATAAGAATGAATTAGCCAGACTTCAATGTGAGGTATCAAAACATAATTTTGTTTAGGTTGTTAATTAAGAATGAAGAGGAAAAGGTAGATTTCAGAAATGGAAGTTTGTGATGCGCTGTGTAATTTGACATAGTCCAACATAGCTCTGGCCCAATGGACACATGAGTTTAGTGATTAGGCTCCTTGCACTCGGGTGATCTGTGAAAACACAGAATCATGGGTAGACAACAGGAGATATGTAGGAGTAGTAACACTTTGTGTGTTTAAAAAGGAACCACGTTAGATCTAACCAAAGGCAAGACTTTTAATGTCAGGGAAATTAATTTAGCCTACTTCAGATCACGTAGTAATTATTCTGCTATACTTGAATAACAGAACAGCATTAGAGACTTCAGGCACTTGACTTGTTCAACTTTGAGGTATTTTTATCAAATACTTTGTACAAGTATTTGTACCATTTGTACCACATTTAATGTATGTTTTTTGATGGAGAAAATCCTGGTTAGAACTAAGAAAAAGTACTGAAGTTGAACTTCTGTCATTCATTAAATCCTTACTGTGCAAAGCAATTCACCTCTGTCTAACCATAAAATGTCTTGCAAGCATCTTGAAAACCCATAAAACTTCCTAAAAATTGGGGAATTATTCCAGCCTATCCATTTTGCAGTGTCACTCACTTGTTATTGGAAGAGGCAGATCTTGCAAGACTTATGGAACAAAGTTTTTCTGGCCATTTGCATGCCCTGCCACCTTCCTAAATCCTTTAAACTTAATCTTTCTTTACAAAGAGAGTTTAGGATCTTAAATTTTTGATTGGCAATCTAAGTACATTTTAAGTATTCTTACCTAAAAGAGGAAAATACCACTGAATTACAGTTTTAAACTTTTTAACTTCCGTGTGATGTGTTTGTATTATTCATTGCTGATAACCGGTGCATCTCTAATGAGCTAGCAAAATATGCAGTTTACTCTCACTTAAAGCACTCTTGTTGCTTTGCATTTCCATTAAGCCTTAAAAAGCAAGAAAGCTTTCAAGTGCACTCAAATCCTGCAGGTGTCTGAAGAGCTGGGGTACCAGGGTTGTGCAGTGCTCGTGGCCTGCACCAGCCTGCTGAGCACTGAGCAGTGGCAATGCCATGAGGTGCTGGTATCGCCTAGAGAAATTATTGGTTATCTCTTCACTGAGGTAGTGGCTTTTGGCGCAGTGAAGTAATACAGTGAAGGTGTAGGTAGTGATTTGTGTAACTGAGATAAAGCATATAGCTGTACCTGTGATCTTCTTAAGCACCTGTTTTCTGTTGAAATTGCTCCGTAGAGTTCAGTGAACACTGTGTATCTGTGGTATTTTAGTAGCTCTCTGCTATTTGTTGTTTTCCTGGAAGGGCATGACTCTGTTGTAACCTGCTGTTTCACTTCTGCCTCTGTTTCAGGAGCGTAGGTTGTACAGTGGTAGAAATGCTCACTGAGAAGCCCCCGTGGGCAGAGTTCGAAGCAATGGCTGCCATCTTTAAAATTGCCACCCAGCCAACCAACCCCCAGCTGCCACCTCACGTGTCCGACCATGCTCGGGATTTCTTGAAACGGATTTTTATCGAGGCCAAGCTGCGACCGTTTGCAGATGAACTGCTAAGACACACGTTTGCACACTATCACTAACAGCCTGCCTCAACTCAGCTTGCGTCTACTGCATTTATTTTCTATTTGACTGCACTTTTATTTTTTACAAAAAGGAGAAAAAAGACAAGAGAGAGAATATTCTCTTGAATCTTTGTTTCACTTAGATTGTAAACAATCTAAATTTTGTATCTAAAATGAGAATCTTCTCTCCCCCGCTCCCACCAGGACTAGAACTTTTTGTTTCTATAATGTACTGATGTGGTTCATGTAGATAAAGCACTTTAGTACATATTTGTTCCTTATTTAAAGGGGAAAAAAAAAAAGACAAATGCTTGGACAGTCAGGAACTGTGAGACTTTTTCTGACACCGCTGACTGACTCAGGGTGCAGGGAAAAATAGACATGCAGCTAAAAGACAAGAAGGTGACTTCTCTGTGATTGTTCTTTACATTGTAGGTACTTGCGGCAGAGAGTTCTACGTTCTTCTTATGTTGTAGCATTTTAATCAGTTTCTGAATTTTGAAGTTGAAGCTGGAACATGCTGTTCTGAGAGTAAATGTTAAAGCTGGAAGAACTTGGAACTCTTTGTGCAGCAGCGTGTCTAAACGGTACTTCTATGTGACCAAAAGAAAATATCAAAAAAGAACTCAACACTGTTGTACTAGTTAGAAGTTTTGGTGTAGAACTATTGTATTATCTTAATAGGAAAATAATTACTGGTAAACATATTGTGGACCCAGACTCCTAGGAACTACTATACTGCAGGGGGAAAATTTCCATAATAGACAAGGGTCAGCTGTTGGATGTAAATATTTGGGAGAATGCCTCCTGCTGTATCTGCCAAAGAGAACCTCTGTCGCATAAGCTTGGAGGGAGACGGTTATCTTAGATAAGAAAAAATAGTGATGCTGAGAGTGGATTCTCCTCCACAATCCCATGAATGGCTGGGGGGAAGGGGAGTGACTAGTCCTTGTGCAGTATATAAGTTACTTGATTCAGAATTAGCTATAAGAAACAATGTTTTCACAGCTGTTGAGAGGCGCTAGGATGGAATGTATGTCAACATCAAGTGCCTGAATAATACAAAATTCTTCTCGTTATGCACTATAAAAATGGTTTTAGTAACACAGTTCAGTCATCTAGGATGTGCTGAAAATTCCTGAGGTAAACATCTTTTGACACCAGGAATAACTCACTGAGAAAGATAAGGCTCTAGTTATATTTTTAGTGATGTAACAGCAATGAATCCACATGAACGAGGAGGCACAGCACAAAAGATTGTATGATTGTGAGTGGGCCAAAAGTGCAAAGAGAGCTAGCATTTCAATTACATGAGCGGGATTACTCCAGTGTGATAATCCAGATGATTGGTGTTGGTCAGGTTTCCAACTGTCATAAAACATATGTTAATAACTTTTTCCACTTCTGAAAGAGAATAATAAAAGAACAAAAGTAAAATCTGAAATAACTGCTTCTCAATTGAGAAGTCCAGGTCCTGATAGGTGTAGTGAATAACTGACTTTTCACAACGGAAAAGTCAAGCTGTCATATTTTTGTAGAACAACACAAATAATTTGAGAGGGCATTTGGAAATAAACTGTTGGACTACAGAACTGAAATAACACATACTGTTTTGGATGATTCATTGCTTGCTTCTGTTACTTTGTAAAGGCAGAGTGGGCTGATACTGTGAACCTTGCCCACTCTGACAAGACTCAATCTATTTTGCATCTTTAGGGGACTGTCAGAATTACGAAGTGCATGGAAACAGAAGAGTAAGCTTACCCATTCCCATGGTGGTTCACTCGTGAGATTTCTGAATTTATTCTGCAAACTTCCAAGTTTTGTACCAGAGCATAAGCAGGAGTATAGATGTATCCTAATCACTATACCTGTAGTAGAGTAAGAACTGTTTTATTTGAGGCCATCACTCCTGAGACTGCGAGTGATGGCTTCTTTGATTTATGTATTTTACCCAGCTTAGAATTTTCTCGGTCAGGGTACACAGCTGTGCGAGGTTTTCTGAGCGTAAGAACCAGTCAGACCAGGGAGAGTTTAGAAGGCTGCAAGGAAAGTCAGCTTGTACTGACCTTCTCTTGTTTGTTTCTTGCTTCTCTATTACTAGATAAAAGTTATGAAAGCAGCGTTTGAGAAGAATTGGTACATACTCTCTTGTAAAGAACCTTTGCTTTATAAGTAAAATTTAGTGACAGCAGGGATGGGGAAGTTTCATGTAGAGCCTAATAGTTAATGTAGGTAGTTTAAAGATCATTTAATTGAAGTGATTGTTTTCAAACAGATTAAGAAGGTACCAAAAACCAAGATGAAAATGTATATAAAAATGAGTAGTGGACAGTGATATCTGAAAAGGTAAGGACATTTCATATTACCAAAAAAGGACATCAAAGGGAAAATGTAACCAGGTTTATCTGTAGCATTCATGATATTTAAATATGCTATTCTAAAAAGAAGCTGCACTCTCTGAAGCTTGAAAAATGTTCAGAATCTAGTTTTCTGATAACGTGTCCTCTTTGTGAGACACTCCTGGCTCATGTCTATTGCAATATCACTTCCTCATTGTGATTTTTAATTACTGAATAATCATGTTTGCTGCTTTTGTGCCTTTTCTAAAAAACGGCATTCAGTCATGACAATGGTAAAGCATTTCGGAGGAAAAAAAGAGTTTGCAGAATGCATTGTCCTTAATTTCTTTGACATATCAGAAAGCTGCCAACGTGTAAAGACAGTGCTTCTTAAATGAAGATATTTGTCAGTCCAGTGATTCTGGTAAAATTTTAATTTAACCAAGATTAGGCTTGAGCTATTTTGTTTTTTCCAGTCTGTGGAGAATTTGACTCTGATATAAATACTTTACAGTATATTAGATGGTTATTAACGTAAATGTTTTGAGCTATAAATGATTATGAAGGTAAATCAGACTTTTACCAAAAGGTTAGCTAAAATGTATCCTCTATTGGGGTAATGCATCAAAACAAGCAGCATTAAATAATGTCGTACTCGTGTACACAGAGCCTGTGAAACACTTCCATTGACTGTGTCCTCATCATGAACAAAGCTAGAGTCTAGAATTTGAGTAGGCAGCATGGAACTGCTGCCCACAGCTCTGCTGGAGGGGGGTTGTGGAGGAGGGCTGCAGAGCCAAGATCTCTGCTCACAACTTCTGATACCTTACTAACAAGAATACCAGCATCTTAGAATTACAAATTATTCTTAATTGCTGAATACAATTACTGGGAAGTGCCAGTGAACACAAGACTGTTGCAGGGGTGTTTTGCTTTTCTGTAAATGCCATGATGAAGCCATGTTCTCAAAAAGCGAGGAATGGGATTCACAGTGAGTATGCACATTTTCAAAGGACTGACTTACCTGCTGATGAATTTTAGTGTTCTGTCTGTTGCACATCTTAAGTAACAAGTTAAGCTACTTCTGTAGTATGGTTGTAATGGTGTAACTGACAGTGCCGTTAGTGTGACTGAAAGTTTCAGTTGTGTTAGACTAAGTTGGTTTTAGTTTGGGTGATAGAAGTAGCCATGCAAAGACTTAAAAGGTGTGGATCTAATAATGGCAGAGTTAAATCTACACAGACTTTTTTCTTGACAGTTTAAATATAGTCTTAAAATTTAAAATCGATTTACAATTCCGTTTGTAGCTAAACAGTCCTTTCAGTGTAACAGAATGGAAAGTGGTTGGTTGGTTTTTTTAGCTAGTGCCTTTTTATCTGTATGCCTTAATTTTGTTCCGATTTGAACACCATATTGAAATACGTCGTACAATTCGGTGTCACCAAAACAGTCAGACTATGGGTTTTTTCAAAGTGCCCAAACCAGAGTTCACTTGACTGCATTGAAAAGTGTGCTTTAGTTCTAATCCGCAGCAGACATTTACACTGAGAATTTTAAGTGATTTTTGGAGCACTTCCCAAAGGCTTCCTATGCTGATAGAGGTTTTGGATTTGCATTGTGGAGATTGTGTGCTGATGCACATACCAGAAAAAGGACTTCTCTACACTCACTGAAATGCCATTAGTCAAGATTTAGCTTCCTAGCTCTGGGTCCCAGACTCTGCATTTACTGCAGAGACTGCAGCAGAGTTCTTCATGGACTTGAAATTACAGCCGGTCCATCTATAAACATGGTACTGTATTAAGAGCTGTTTACTGTCAGTACACAGGAATATGATGTGTCTAAGCAAATCAACAGATTTCTCAGTGAAGTTAGCATTGTGGCCATTAAATTATTTCCTGAATCTTTCGGATCATCCTGATCCTGCTGTTGTCTTGCCTGAAAGCCTCACAGCGCCTGTAGGTGCAGTGCAGTAGAGCACAGAAAGCTGTTCCTTGGGACAGCATAGAGCAGTGTCTAACTGCAGCTTCAGAGACCTCAGCAAAGTGGTCAGGTCTCCAGTTACTTATAACCAATTTTGTGCTTTTTTAATCTTGAAAGTCTCTGTCATGCATATAGAAAAGCATAATTTGTGTGCTTGAATAAGTCCCTATGGTGTTTCTGGAAAAGCAAAAGTATTACTGCCAGTATCGTGTCTTCTTGCTGGTAACTTGCTGTCTTGTGTTAATGACAAATCTGCAGTGTAAAATCACATACAATTACCAAAGCTTTTCTATCCCCATATACATATAACCAAAAGTGATGTTTCATGGATTAGTACTGTTACTTATAGATACATATATATCCATCAGTAAGCTGTTGCTAACTGAGTAAAGCAGGTAGTAGTAAAAAGTGATAGATGCTGCCCATATTTAGGAGATCTGGGTGCTTTGGAGTTGCTGTTTAGATCTGCAAAATTCATGCCAGCATTAAAATGAAGAGTTTGCTTTTTCAAACTCTTTTAAACTTAATCTTACTGTTGTCACTCTAAAATTAATACATAAGCTTGCTGACTAAACGTGGTGATTTATAGCCAGGTTTGAGCTTTGGGACGTTCAAGGAGCGCCATGAAGAGGAGTAGATTTGTGAGCTGCTCTGTGCGCCGTAGTAAGAACATTTCAAAGCAGCTGGGAAGCAGTGATGTGAGAGCTGAATGTCACCCGCAGTTACCTGGGTGGCGATGCTGCCTTCAGGAGGAGCTGCA